TTTCAATACTATGATTGTATTTCGTCAGGTGATGGTAGCTAACCTGTGATAAATATGATTTATTTGTGAAATTTAAATATATATACATATATATATATATATATATATATATATATATATATATATTTAGTGTGCACATATGTACATAAAGTATTTGATAACATGTTGACGAACGGAAGAAAAACACCCGTTTCACAAACAACTAAATTTATTCATACAGAACTTGGTAGACATATGCCGTAATGGTTGGATAACATGTTTATTCGATATAACCGCCTTCAGCCAAAATGTTGACTTCAGTACAGGACTGGAATCGTTATATTGATATTGCATATTACCCCGGTAATTGTAAGTTTCAGGGAATCAGTCGCATTGTTGGAAAGTTGAATAATCTCCCGTTCCACCATACTAAACATGTAATAGTCAATGGAAGTTTGGTCTGGCGAGTTAAGTTGCTCCATTTTTGGAGTTATATGGTGGTGCAGATTGGCGGTCATCCAATCTTTGGTCAACACAGCCTTTGGAGAAGGCGCAGTGTCCTGTTGAAATATAAGGCCTTCCATCGTATATATGGACTACTCCGGGCGTCATACCTTTTCCCAGCGTTCAACTGAAGGTCTTGTTGAAAGAAGTGTGCATAACATGGGGTCGACATCGGAAGGATCTACACATAACCACCTGTCATTTTCCCGATTCAATTTTTGACAATGGTCGAATCTTTTTCGGAACCCGCTTGAAAATACAATCGTTCATCACCATAAGGAAAATTCAGAGTCCTCTCACTGATAATGATACACAACTAGTTTGTTTTTCAAGTCACTGAATGAGACCAGACAGTTTTCACTCACTGAGCTGTTAGAACAAGGTCAGAGGAGAAATCAGCTGGCAGGATCTGGTCGTTTACAGTTTTGAAAGTGCACCCATATACAATTGTATCATCGTCATAGATATTGACAAATAATTGGAGTATAGTCTTAGGTAGATCAATTATGAAACATAAAAACAGCATTGGGTTGAGAAGCGCGCCTTGGGGAGATACCTTTATTAATTAATAGTCTTTAAATAGTCACCATAACTGGTTCCAATTATTTTCTTATATTTTGTTTCAAGTGACTTTGGTTGGAGATCAAGGGGCAGCAAGTCTTTTCACAGTTGTAGTAATGCTCTTCGTATTAATCTCTTCATTGGTCTCCTTATTCTATATTTATTATATAATATTTTAGTGAGGATAATTCCACCACTTCTTCATATTTGAATGATAAAGTTGAGGTAAACAATTTCTCAAAAGGACAACAATCAGTTCAACATTTTCGACCTGTTGATTGAATTATCATGTTTATTCCAATTTCCAGTTTTTTATTGAATTGTTTTTGCAAATAATTTCCTGGGCTTTAATAATTGTGGGCATGTCTACCGTCATCTCCACCTTTTATTTATACGTTTGATAACATTAGAGTAAAAAAATACTTTCACAGTTATTTCATGATGTATACTCCAAATACTGAACAGTTATTCACCATTATTCGGAAAAAAAGTGTTCAATTTAATCGCATATTTTTACAATTTTAAAATGAAAAATATTCAATATTGCTCATGTACCTTTAATTGTAAATGTCATTTGTATATAAAGTTTCTTGTATGAAATTCATTATAGATCTGAGTGAAAACTTTACATGCGCTTATTTAAAATTATCATTTGATTTTCTAATTTTGAATATTTCCTGTTTGGCAAATCATCATTTTTGTTTTCAGCATTAGTAATTCGACGCTGCATCAATTTATTTACATGACGTGTTCCCTCTTTTAAGATCTTTATCATATCTTAGCATAATCTACGCATAGCAGCCCCTCCACTAGCAACTATCAAATTATTCCTTTCCTTTTAAAATTGGAAAAATATGGGATTAAATTGAACACTCTTTTTCCGAAAAACGGTGAATATCTATTCAGTATTTAGAGCATACATAATGAAATAACTGTGAAAGTATTTTTGAAACTAATGCTTTTAAAACGTGTGTATATATATATATATATATATATATATATATAAACGTTTTAAATATATATATATATATATATATATTGAAAAATATCCAAATTCCTAATAGGAGAGATTGATAAATTCTTCAGTGTCAGTATTACAGAGAACATATAATTTCACTATGCAAGCAATATTTCCAGTGTTTTTTTTAGGGATTCTCTTTCATATTAGCTTTTTTAAACTTAAAAGACTAAATTATTACTGCCGTAATACAGAAATATAAGAGTTTATTATTTACAAATATAACAAGATAACAAGGAATGTATATTGCTACAAAATTGTCATTAATACGATGGTACAATGCATCAAAACTGGTAATTTCAAAGCATAATCATTATCTATTGCGGGGTATCCTGTATTTTTGAACGCAATTTCAAACGTAAAAACCAAACACGTGCTCATTTCACTTTTCCTTTTAACATTTTTCCATCGACTATATACCTTCTTGAAATCGTATACCATTCTCTTTCGTCAGGAATAATAATATTCGAAAAATAATAAATGAGAATGTAAATATTACATCTTGGGTGACATTTTACACTCCATATTACAATAATTTTCGAATCGTTATTCAATATGAGCCTTTAATTCACTGCTCTGTCACTGTACCAATTCACAACTTCCTTTATTACATTCTAATACATTTTTCTATCCCTTTCATTTCAATCTCCAGTATTTTGGAAGCAAATATCTACTTTATCTATCGTTCGACAAACACATCAACAGCAAGTTCCGCGACTGGAAACTTCGAAATCATTACACATATTCCAGCATAATCTTCAATATTATATAATTTTATATAATGTTTTATCAGGCCAATTTAATATTTAATGCAATATATCTATCTATCTATCTATCTATCTATCTATCTATCTATCTATCTATCTATCTATCTACACACACACACACACACACACACACACACACATATATATATATATATATATATATATATATATATATATATATATATATATATATATATATATATATGACACTTGCGTTGTATCGTAACGGTCCTCGCTCGATTTTCGGTAGTGGATGCACATTGCTAATGAGTCCCCAAATAGGACGAAACGGCTGCCCAGTGCATTTGCGTTCTGTTGAGGATTCTTCTTGAATTGATTGATTACTATAAATAATTATTCAAATCTCAAAAAACAAATTCTCTCATTTGTATATCCTTGCTTGATCCAGCTTCTAATGCGCAGGAGGAAGACTCGATGAATTTCTATAAAGGATTATACAAATCCCCCCCAAATTGTCTACACACACACGTATATATATATATATATATATATATATATATATATATATGTGTGTGTGTGTGTGTGTGTGTGTGTGTGTGTGTGTGTGTGTGTGTGTGTGTGTGTGTGTGTGTGTGTGTATGTAAAAGAAGAAACATCATATATATATGTAAAAGAAATGTGTAAAAGAAGAAACACACACACACACACACATATATATATATATATATATATATATATATATATATATATATATATATATATATATATATGTGTGTATGTGTGTGTGTGTGTGTGTAAAACAAGAAATATCGAAGTCAGCATTGACTGACTGTTTCATGCTAGACGCAATCCTCAAGCCCTATGTGTTGTTTTTTTTCTTCTCGACTATTTGTATATATATGGGTCGGTGGACTACCCACAATGCACCACTGATCCATATATATAAATAGTCGAGAAAAAATCCAACAAATGTAGTCTGATGATTGTGTCTAGCATGAAACAGTCTGTCGCCTCTGAGTGTTGACTTCAATATTTTTTCTTATATTTACATACTGTATATATACTTGATATTGAGCACTTTATTCCATAAATATAGCACAACTTAAAACTATATTTCTTCATATATATATATATATATATATATATATATATATATATATATAGATCGTAAGGGAATCAGGTTCAGTAGTGTTGTTAAACAAACGAACACTGAAAAAGAACCCAGCACAGAAAGAGTCTATGGTAGATCAACAATTAAATATGTTGGATATGATACAGTTAACCGCGGTTGAAAATGAATGTACGGAATTAGTGAATTATTAGATTCAGACACTAAATTAGTGATTGTAGATGGTGTGGATGTGAAATCTGACATTAAATGCGTTTTACCAAAATGCCAGAGACTTGGTCAAGAATCGTGTATTATATGAATGGCAGTTCTCCTCATAATCGCTGGACGACTTAAAATCAAAGAGAGGTTGAAGATTTTTTTTTAAATCTTAGAGATTTAAAACATTCCGACATGAATTCAGTTAAAAATGACTTGAAGATTAAATAAAAAGCATACATTTACGGGGACATAATTTCCTTCTTTCTAGAAAGAAAACATTTTGTTATAACTAATGCAATCATGAGATAAAAACAGTATAATTAAAATTTATATAGAAAACCTTACAATTAAGTTTGTATAATTAATTAAAAAAAAAACATCTAAATTCAGCGACTGTCAATGTCAGGGAAAGATATAATAAAGAGTATGCCTTCTATAAATTCGTTATAGTATCTTGAATACTTGATATTACACAATGGTCGATTACATTAAACAAGCGAAATGTCTACGTGAGGAAAGGTCGAAGAATAAGCCAGTGTACGAAACCTTACTTTGTTGTCGAATTAGATCAGCCATGAAAACTTTCTATACGTAGCTGTTTAGGTCTCTTGGTAATTCTTTTCTGACTTCTGAAGTTATTAGTGTTAAATCAACAGGAGAAAGATTCTTGTGTCTTAAGTTGGAAATCTCCGGAGTAAAGAATGTACGCAGACGCGTTGTCTCTCTGGTGAGCAAAGTGGGAAGCAGTCGGGTTACCAATTCATAGAAGTTCATAATCACACATAACCGATTTTTCTTGTACGTTTTCTGAGTTTCAACATTCCATATAGATATGGAAATTGCTACTTTAGATACAGCAAATTATAATTATTTCTCTAGTCTAGATAGATAGATAGATAGATAGATAGATAGATAGATAGATAGATAGATACATACATACATACATACATATATACATACATATATATGAACAGACAGGCAGACAAATAGATAGATAAAGAGATATGAGCAAGCAGGCAGACAGATATATATGAACAGACAGGTAAACAGATATATAGATATGAACAGACAGGCAGACAGATACATATATATATATATATATATAGATAGATAGATAGATAGATAGATAGATAGATAGATAGATGAACAGACAGGTAGATAGATACATAGAGAGAGGGAGATGAACAGACAGATAGATAGATAGATAGATAGATAGATAGATAGATAGATAGATAGGGAGAGAGAGAGAGAGAGATGAACAGACAGGTGGATAGAGAGAAAGAGAGAGAGAAAGAGAGAGAGAGAGAGATGAACAGACAGACAGATAGATAGATAGATAGAGAGAGAGAGAGAGAGAGAGATATGAACAGACAGGCAGATAGATAGATAGATAGATAGATAGATAGATAGATAGATAGGAACAGACGGACAGATCATTACTTTAAATACAGCAAATTATAATTATTTCTCCACTCTCTATAGATAGATATAAATGGAACGAGATAGGTATATTTAAAGAAACATAGTAACAGAGAATTCTGAACTCGACAAATCTAGAGATTTCATCTATTTTTTCTTTTCTTTTTTCTTTTTTTTGTTGTACTGCTCAGTTACTGCTCGTCCGTTTCCACTGAGTCCAAGTAGAGTATACAGCTTAAAGTGTTCCTTCCTGAATTTCATAACATAGTGGTTGTGAGTTCAATCCCTCGGTCGGGCAATGTTTACTTGGGCGTAAGTATTGCTCAATAAATACTGAGCAGTACTAAAAATAAAACCTAGACGAGATCCTTAAAACATAGCAGTGGAATGATGACAGTCTCCTCCCGTAGCCAACAGCCAACTCGTTGTGATAAAAAAAAAAGACTGACAATCATCTTAAATAAATTCACGGATCTAATGATGAAATCTGAAGTATTAATTAATGGTAATGTTAGGCAACATCCAAGCAAACGTCGAAACAAAGAAATATAGAAACCTGACGAACGGAAATCTTAAAAAGAATAACGGATCAAATTTTTGAGAGGAAACCAGGAAATAAAAATAAACCTTATATTGCATGAAAAAGATAGAAAATAATGTAGAGGAAATATGGAAAATGGCTAGAAAAAATTATTTTACAATTCACAATAAAAATCACATGTATAAAAGACTCAATAAATTTTTTATACGGCCATGTTTATTAGTATCCTATTAAATCAAGATTAATATATAGATTAAGATAATAATACAAAATTAGATATAATTAATTTAAATAACTTAAATTACACAAAATGTTTTCTATTGTGCCGAACATTTCCTCAGATTAATTAAAATTAAAACTGCTGTAGTAATAAATTTGTACGTTTTTTTTTAAATTTTTTGTTATACTTACCTAAGATTTTCTTTGGAAATAACTGAATAAAACTTGGATCCCCAAATGCAGACATTTCAGCAGATATATATATATATATATATATATATATATATATATATATATATATATATATATTAGTTATTGAACCTTGAGAATAATATTTTAGTTCTTGGTCTTTGCAAAAATAGGTTTTTACATACATTCAATTTCTCTTTCAAATATTTGGCGCACACAAGAATTTATTGTACATCGTACAAGAATTTCAGGGGCATCTTTGACTATTAGAAGGGACGAAATACCGAAAACATATGCAGCAATATAAGTTCTTGACATTCTTAAATTAGGTTATCAATGATCTCTATATGTTTTCTTCTGAAAAAAAAAAACAGTTTTTGTTCGGTAGGAAGGAAAAAACGAGATCTGTCTGAATCTCGCCGGCCTTTTCAGCAAGAGAATAACAGTTGTCTTGTTGACAAATCGTCTGTTTTACCTTCACTTTCGATCTAATAATAATGTTTTCTTTATTTATATATTCGGATGGCTTAAATACAAAAAAAAGACATGTAAGAAAAATCTCTTTTTATTTATCGGCTTTAGTGGACTTTTTCCACAAAAGGTCATGGAAAAACAATTTAAATTTCGCGCTCCTTGAATATATACGCATTCATCACCCACAAAAAGTCGGAGCAAACACCCAATCAACACAAATTATTTTTAGGTGTTTATTGGAAGGATGAGACAGCTAGCATTTATTTATTCCATCCTTCCTTTTGCAATTTCTTGTTTCTTTTCTCTTTTCTCTCACCAAAAATGTAAGAAATTCGACGTTAGATTTGTTATATCGTAATCGTTTTTATATTAAAGTGTAATCATTTTTATGAGGGAGCAATAACTTTATAGCAAACGAAAATTTAAATAAACCTGATCAACTATATATATATATATATATATATGTGTGTGTGTGTGTGTGTGTGTGTGCGCGTGTGTGCGTAATGTGTTTGTATATTAGTTTTACTAAGAATATCTATGCAATAATAAAACTGTTTTCTAATTTAAAAGAAACAAACTTACAATCATGAATAAAGTTCTTCAATGTGGACTTGGAAAAGCTCGGATAGGAGAAAATATTAAGTTTATTTCATACCAGTTGTCAAACAAAATGTTCATAAATTTAATATGTCATCGCCAAATGATACTTTTCATGTTGGAATTTGATTTTAAAATCAAGAAAATAAAAGCATTCTCCCAAAATAATAGAATTTCAACAGGAGATCCTGAGCTCTTCCCTCGTTTTGTGCAATAGAAAAAAATAGAATATTATTAACACATTTATTAGTCATTGTTACTGCTTGGTTGTCTGCTTTCATTAGCTAGTTTTTTGGGGGAAAAAAAAAGAGAATGGCATTTGCTGGATATATATGACGATAAAGACGCTGATGGTGATTTTTTTGTGGACTCTCGTAATTTGGTTTCGATTAGATATTCAGCTGTACAGACTAACCTAAACAACAACACCAATATGCAGTATAATAAATAGATCACAAGACAGCCTGTAATTTGCATTACTATATGTATCCACTGTTTTGGAAATATCGCTAAGTGCTAATTAGTTTATAAAACAAATAGACTGACATTTCTTGGTGCCTTCATTGATTGATTGATCGATTGATTCGTTTTCTACAAATTTACAAGTTATTTAAAGCCATTTTTATATTCTAAGATATTATTGTGATTATAATGCTTTAGTGATAGAAGTCTTACTATTTAACCTATAACTAGGAGAGAGAAGAGGTTGATTCTTACGATGCCCAAGGGTATTTGTGGGTAAGTGGATGAAAGGAATCGAACTGGAATTCAAACTCGATTTACCGATTTCCAATCTTCGGCCAATATCCATTACACCACATGCACAACCAAGCTTACACCACCTGGTATTCTGAAGCGGTCATTGATCTAAGTACTGACCAGGCTCGAATTCAGTGATCGAAAGGAGATGAGTGTTTCAAAGTGATGTGGCCGTAAACCTCAGTTCCCAGAAAAAGTGTATATAAGTCAACATCAGGCAATATGAGCCTCATAATGAGGTATAACCACGTCTACAGCAGCGGAAGTGGAGCAGCATTATAATAGACAAGACAAATGAAACGCTCAATAACGTGGCATACTGAGAATGAGAAGAAATATTCATATAAAAACAATGGGGTAATAAGTTTTTCCCACTTATGACGATTGCAGCCATCGATTTTTTTGCATGCTAGTTAACATTCGTGTCAGTGAGCTGTTGGCTCTCACACTGGCCAATAGAATTTTCCTGCCTATTCGTAGCAGCCAGCTATTGGCTCTCACTCTGGCCAATAGAAAATGGCCGCAAACTACATGAAAATTGCCGTAGAAGCATGGAAAAATCGATTATTTCCACTATCGGTGGGTGTTGGGAAATGCAAAGTCGGTCTTGTCCTTCCCGCTAACTTGGAGCATGTGCATGTCAATTTTGATGTAAATCCATCGAAAATTGCGGCCGTGCATTCGTTACACACACACACACACACACACACACACACACACACACACACACACACACACACACGCATGCACACATCCTGCCTTTTATAGATAGGGATGCTTAGAAATTATTCACCTCGGCGTAATTTAATGGTTATCAAGCTTGTCTCGCTAGAACAATTACGACTGAGTGGTGAGATTGATCCTCATTGGGTGCCTCATAATTTAGGCCTTGTGTCACATCTAAACTAAGGTTAAAAAATCACCATATAAAAACCAAGTAACACGACAACGAAAAGGCAGAAAAGGCAAGATTAACATAAAAAAAAGATAGAATGATTGAAGAGCTTAAAATATTCTCGATCAGCAACCGACAGAAACAGCAAATGTTTATATGAAAAGATAAAGGGAGAGAATGAGAAGTTAACAGCTGTTAAGGAGAGACGAACAATTTCACGCAATCCTGTACACACAAAAAACCGCTCCAATATTAATGCAAATAATGACATTCGTTCAAGAAACAGCAACTGAAGAAATATTGTGTGCGATTAAAAGCAGAAAAAAGCAAAAAATTACAATGCGAAAATGATATCAGTTCATCCTATAAGTTCTGTCCGAATTTTGAATAAAGAAAACAAGTGACCAAATGTTACATTTAATTACAGATTCAATAAACAATATATTTTCCCTGATTATCTATGACTTCCTTCCATCTATTAACAAGCTTACTAATTCCGTTACTGTAAAATTATTTTGGCTTTGATTCGAAGAACTCACAAATGTCAGTTTTAACCTCTTTCTCTGTTACAAAATCTGTTTCTTCCAAATGATTCTGTAAGCTACGAAACAAATGGTAGTCTGAAGGAGCAAGATCGGGAGAATAAGGTGGATAAGGAATTTTCTCCCAACCAAGTTCTTCGATCTTTTGTGACGTGATTCTTGCTGTGTGGGGTCGCGCATTCTCCTGATGAAACATCACCCCTTTTCGATTCACTAGAGCAGGTCTTTTTTTCCTCAAAGCTTGGTTCAAACGCTTTAATTGCCGACAGTATATTTGAGCATTAATTGTTGCATTAGGTGGTATGAATTCAAAGTGGATTATTCCTTGGCGATCCCACCAGATTGAAAGAAGAACCTTTTGCCCATGAAGTTCCCTTCTCTGCTGTGGCTGGGGTCCTTCCCCTTTACCAAGCCACTGTCTACGACGCTTAACATTTCGATAAAAGATCCATTTTTCGTCGCCAGTCACAAGTCTATCCAAAAAAGGTGAAATAAGTTGGCGAGAATGGAGAGATGTAAATTTCCAGAGCATAAATATAATAAATTAACTGATTTAAAATATGTTTTTTCGCTATATAGTAATAACCATGTTTCAAAAACTGAAGCTAAAAACTTCAAATTTAATTATATAATTAAATTTGAAGTTTTAGCTTCAGTTTTTGGAACATGGTTATTACTGTGTAGCGAAGAAAACATATTTTAAATCAGTTAATTTATAATATATATATATATATATAGCTGCCTACTCATATTCGAGGATAGGCAATCCTTATTGAAGGCGCTGACTCAGGCGTATTTGTGGTT